CACAGCCACTGTGGCCACCACCACTACCACTGGAGTCACTGCTGTCACTGCTGCCATCGCTGCCGTCACAGCCACTGCTGCTGCCACCTCCCGCCTTTGTCCCTTTCCCAGCTCCTGCACTCCCAAATGTGCAGTTCAGAGCTGTGCCCAGGTGGATGGAGCTGGTTTGAGGGGCTGTCTGCCCCCCCTCCCCATGAAGGGAGCACCTGAGGGGCTCCAGTCAGTGTCACCCGGGGTGTTGTACCCCCCATTCAGGGCTGCTCTTCCACGGCACTGCTGAGGCTGTCCTGGCTCTGCACCTGGCTGTAGGGCCACAGCCTGAGGACATGGTGGCCAAGGGCGGTGGCCTTGCCATGAGGACAGGGTGGTCCAGAGCGATGTGGTGGCCTGGGGTGGTGGCTATGCCAAGGGGACACAATGTCCTGTGGCAACGAGGTGGCCTGGGGCTGTGTCCCCACCATGAGGATGCAGTAGCCAGGACCGGGGATGTCCCCTGACCCTCCAGGTGAGGCGAGTGCCCTGATGCAACCAGCGTGGGCCTGTCCTCTGTGTCCCTGCCACCCTGTCCCCACACAGAGCCCCTTGCCCACCCGGGCCACCCCGTCCCTGTGCTGATGGTGACTCACGCAGCCCGTGACCTCGCGAGGCGTATTTTTAGGCACTTGTTAAAACAGAAAGATAATGAGGAATAGGGGGGTGTGGAGAGGGGGGTAGCAAAAATGATGGAGGAAAGAACCAGGGAAACAGCTGGTGACATAATGGTATCAAACTTTGAGGGGGGATACGGTGCTAGCAGCACCCCCACCCCAAAATACTCTCCCACCTCCCCAGCCTTGTAAAGACCCCAGGAATAATTGCCTCCTTAAAGGTAGCTAATTGATTTCTGCTCGCTGATTAAAGCCTCTGCGGGAGCCGGGGGACATGCGGGGGCGATCGATGGCTGTCAAAAGTCTCCTTGGCCCTCCCCTCTTTTGGGGCGGGGGTGGGGCTTGTCCCCCGCGTGTCCCCTGGGGTTTGGGGCCATTGCATAGGCGTGAAGGGGATGAGGGGATGCACCCCCAGGGTTTTTTTAGGGGCAGGGGAGATGATGACCCTCTGGACCTCACAAGTGCCACTGAGGTTGATGCCACCTCGGTGTTGTCACCGAACCGCGGTGGCAGGCGGCACCGGGAGCGGCCCCGGGCCGCTCTGTGCCTGTGTGTCCGTGTCGCCCTCCCCCATCCCCGCGTCCTTCGCTCACCCCCGGCGCTGGCGGCGCCTGTCACTTGCCATCGCGTCCTGCTGTCCCCGCCGAGGCTGATGGAGATGGCAGGCGACGGAGCGGGCGCAGCCGCGTGTCCCCGTGCCGTGAGCCCGCCGGTGCTCGGCCCCGGGCGCGGCTCTTTCGCGCAGCCCGGCGGTGGCACCTGCGGGTGCCCCGTTGTCACTGTGGCCTTTGCCACCAGCGGTGACATCCCATCCCACGGACCCACGGCTGACCGCGATGGGTGCTTGGCCGCGTGGGTCTCACCTGGGCTATCCCAAAGTGTGGTCCCCCGTGGGAGGGGAAACTGAGGCAGCGAGTAGCGGCGGGCCCTGGGGACCATCCCACGTGGGTGCTCCTCTGTGGGGACACTGGTGACGGGTTCCAGGGTTGTCCCCAGCTCCACGGGGACTCTCGGAGTGCTCGGGGTCTGGCGCGGCGACAGGGGCCGGGGTCACCGAGGGATTGGAGGAGGGGGGTCAGTGGAGCAGCCGGGGCCGAGCCCCCGCTCCCTGCCTCAGTTTCCCTCCCTCGGAGAGGATGGGGGGGCGTTCCCGTGGGCGTGGTTACACGCACGGAGGCGTGTCTCGGGTGGGCGGGCGGGGCCGGGGGCGTGTCCCGGTGGGTGGGCGTGGCCCGTGCGGCGCGGGGCGCACCGGAGCCAGCGGAGCGCAGCGGAGCCGCCGCCGCCGCCAGCCCGAGCCCCCCCGCCGCCGCCGCCCTGCTCCCCCCCGCCGGCACCATTCCCTCCCCCGGGCGCCAGCGTGCCCCGGCCGGGCGGCGGCTCAGCCTGGGCCGCAAAACTTTGCTGGCGGCCGCGGCGGGGGTGGTGATGGTTCTGGTGCTGGTGGTGCTCATCCCGGTGCTGGTGAGCTCCGCCGGTACCGACGGCCGGTACGAGATGCTGGGTACTTGCCGGATGGTCTGCGAGCCCTACGGCCCCGCCGCCCCGCCGCAACCGGCCGAACGCGGCCCCCTCCCGCCGCCCTCCACCCTGGTGCAAGGTCCCCAAGGCAAACCGGGAAGACCGGGGAAACCGGGACCGCCGGGACCGCCCGGAGAACCGGGACCGCCGGGGCCGGTGGGGGCGCGGGGTGAAGCAGGAAGGCCGGGACCCCCGGGATTACCGGGACCGGGGGCTACGGGCGCGGTGAGCGCGGCCACCTACAGCACGGTGCCGCGGGTCGCCTTCTACGCCGGCCTCAAGAACCCCCACGAGGGCTACGAGGTCCTCAAGTTCGACGACGTGGTCACCAACCTGGGCAACAGCTACGACGCCGCCTCGGGCAAGTTCACCTGCGCCATCCCCGGCACCTACTTCTTCACCTACCACGTCCTCATGCGCGGCGGCGACGGCACCAGCATGTGGGCCGACCTCTGCAAGAACGGGCAGGTAAGGGCTGCCCACCCCGGCTCCCTCCGCGGGACCGGGAGCTCTGCTGTCCCCACGCACGGGAGAAGGGCTATGGGTGCTTCCTCGGGGTGCCCCGTCCTTTTCCTGGCCTCAGCGACGCGCCCTCTGGCTGTTCCGTCCTTGTCCCGGCCCCAGGAATGCCCCCCCAGGTTGTCACATCCTCTTGGTGCTGCTGATGGAGCGCGGGCGCTTCCCCAGGGCCCCGTCCTTTTGCCGCCCCAGCCGTGCACTCCTGGGTGCTCCATCCTTCTCCTGGCCCCAGGGATGCGCCCCCAGGGTGCCACATCCCTCTCCCAGAGCTGATTACGGGCTCTGGGTGCTTCCCCAGGGGCCCCATCGTTTTCCCAGCCCCAGAGATGCATCCCCGGGGTGTCACATCCTTTTCCCAGTGGCAATGATGGGCTCTGGGTTCATCCCTGGCACGCCACATCCTTCTCCCAGACACTGACATGCACGCCTGGGGTGCTTTATCTTTCTCTAAGTGGTGATGATGGGCTCTGTGTACACCCCCAGAATGCCCTATTCTTTTCCTATCCCTCGGGATGTACCCCCAGGATGTTCTGTGCCTCTCTCGGTGACAATGATGGGATTTGGGTGCATTTCCAAGGTGCCACATCCCTTTCCTGAGCACAGAGGTGTAACCCCAGGGTGCCCCGTTCTCCTCACGGTGACATGATGGACTCGGGGTGCACCCCCGAGGGGCTCTGTCCTGCTGCCATCTCTGGAGCCGCATCCCCAGGATGCTCCATCCTTCTCCCAGTGGCAATGATGGGCTCTGGATGCGGCCCCAGGGTGCTTCATCCTGCTCCCCGCCCTGAAGTAGCACCTCTGGGTGCCCTGTCCTTCTCCCAGGGACAGTGCAGTGTGTCCCATCCTCCTCCTCCTCCCGTTCCCAGACGCTGCCCTGTCCCTCTCCCAGCGCTGGGGACAGTCACCACCCACCCTGGCATTTCCCCGGGCGTTCCCTCAGCTCTTTCCTCGGCCACGGAGTTGTTCTTTGGGGTGCCTTGTGATTTCTCGTGGTGCCTTGGGGCACCCGCACAGCGTCCCCGGGGTGCCCCCCCGCCCATGCCATTGTCCCCGCTGAGGTCCCTGCGGGGACAGGGCAGGGACAGTGTCCGCGGTGGCCTCGGGGGGAGCAGTGCCTGCCCCGCTTTTGGGGGGCTGCACGCCCAGCCCGGAGCCGCCTCCGCTGCTGCCGCTGGGTCAGGAGAGACGCGGGGACACCGCGGGGGACACACACCCCGAGGGTGGCTCCATTCTTCCTCCCCTCTCCCGCATCCCCGCGACCTCATCCCGCTGGAACCCGCAATGCCAGGGCTCAGCTCGCCATCCACAGGAATTTCGGGTGCCCCTTTCCCACGCCATGTCCCCTCCCGCCACGCGAGGGACACGATGTTTGTGACCGCCGGGATGCCAGCCGAGCTCAGTTCCCCTGGATGCCACGGCAGCCGGCATTCCCGCGGGATCCATCCACGCTGCTCTCGCTTCCCAGCGTTTCCTCCGGCATCACAGCCCGCGGTGCATCCTTGTTCCGAGGATGCAGGACCCCGAATTAACCCAAAACGGAGTTTCCACCGCAGAAACAGCCGGGGCGTGAGCAGGAGCGGGAGCCTTGCCACGGCCACCGCGCCTCGGCTCCGAGCTCTTCCGAGCGGGGGAGCACAGCGGGAGCCGCTCGGCAGCTTTTTCTCCATCCAAACAGTTCGAATTTCCTTTTATTTGGATTTTTATTGTCCTCCTCTGCCCTCCAACCTTGAATTTTGGGGGATGCCAGCGCCGCTTGGCACTTCTGGCTCTTTCTCCCAAGCAGCATCCGTGTAACTCTGCACTGAGCACCCCAAAACTCACCTCAATCCTTTTGCCTCCCCCAAAATCTTTTTGGGGACCACCCCAAACCTTCCTGCCCCCCCAGCTCTGCCGAGCATCGTCATTCCTGGATGAATTTCCAGAAGCTATGGAGCCCCTTGTCAAGAGAAGCTGCGCTCGGGCGGGCGATGCAACTTAATTAAGAGCTTGTTAATTACTAACAAGGCATCGCCGCATCGATATCTATAAAGAAGATCCCCCTCAATGGCTCAAATAATTTAAAAATGGGGTTGTTTAGGGGGTTGCTGCCAAAAATCCCCCGTCCCTGGCATGGCGTGGGGTTCCTGGCAGGTAAAGGTCGATCCTGTTATATTCAGAGCGAGTCAGAAGTTGGGGGGGGGGCCCTCTGGCCCCCAAAAATCCCCTGGGTGCTGCTGATTTGGGGGGCTGCCGATCACCGTTGGGTCGGGGCTGGAGTTAATGAGAGCCAGGGGAGCTGCTGCTGGTGGTTAATTAGCATTAATTATTATTTGTATTAGCCCGTAGCTGAGGTGAGGGCAGTGGGAGGTGGACGGACAGAGGGACAGATGGATGGACGGACAGGGCTGGTACTGGGTGATTTTGGGGTCACCATGCTGTAGAAGGTTCATCCACAGCTCAGGGAGGGTCACAGCCCCAGGGGACTGTTGGGGACAGTCCCCAAGGACATGCTGGGGGTCCTGGGGGCTCCCACTGGCCTGTCTGGGGGTCTGGGGGGGAGGGGGGCATCTGCTGATGCACCCAAGGGCTCTGGGGGGCACCTGCTGCTCTGCCCAGGGGGGTCTGAGGGGGGGCACCCCCGCTGTGCCCAGGGGTGCTGGGAGGGCACCCAGAGCTGTGCCCGAGCACCCTGAGGAGCTGCTGCGTTTCTGCCACGCCTCGGGGGTGCTGGGCCGTGGTGGCACGTGGGGCACGCGGTGTCCCCGAGGTGTCACTGCGTGTGGCAGCACCCACTGCCCCCTGTCTGCCTGAAAGCTCCTGGGTGCAGCCACCTTGGGGACCACTCCAGAGTGTCCCCAGCACTGGGGACGCCCCCAGCTTTGGGGTCAGGGAGAGCAGCTGCAGCAGAGCCCAGGCTGAGGCCATGCCACCCCCACGGCTCCCAGCTGTGCCGTGGGGAAACTGAGGCACAGAACAGGAGAAGGGGGTGAGGCCATGGCGGGGGCCGTGGTGGCAGCCTCCCTGCTGTGCCGCTGCGGTGCCGGGAGCGGCTGAGCCCGGGCCCAGCGCTGCCATTTATCTTCCCTGCTTAGCGAGGGCTGGCGGCCGCGCCGTGATGAGGCGGCTCCCTAACGAGGGAAGACGGATGGCACCGGGCAGCTCCGGCGGTGGCGGGGGGGACGATGGTGGGAGCCAAATGGCTTTTCCCGGCTCTCCTTCCTCACGGCTTCTCCCTTCACTCCTGCTCCTCAGCAGGACTGCCCAGGACAGGCAGCGTCCCCTGGAGATTGGGGCGCTGTGACTGGCTGGGATTCAGGGTCCCCTACTGGAATGGGGACCCTCGCGGTGGCAGGGTAGACACAAGGGTGACTTTGAACAGGGTGAGAGTTGCTGGTGGCATGAGGGACGCGGCTGCGTGGGCAAATCCTATGGGATCACCAGCCTGGCCGTCGGTAGGTGCCAGAATTAACAGCGTCCGACCCCAGCACCGCAGGCTGCCGCTGGGCTCGGGGAGGTGCAGCTGGGCAGGACTGGTCCCCTGGGGACCACTGTCCTGGGGGCGAAGGACAGCACTGCGTGGGGACAGCCGTGCTTCTCCCGGCGCTCCGGGACACCGCAGCCGCTCGCCGGTGCCTGCCCGCCCCGCGCGAGCCAATTAAGAGCCGATTCTCGTCGGTTGTAATTAGCGGCACCTTCTCCAGGCGCAGCGCTTCTGCATTTCACTTGGGATTTCACCAGCCGCCTTGTCACTGTCACCCAGCGCCGCGATCTCCCCGCGAGGCGCCGGCAGAGATTTGATTACCCAAAGAATTCTGCAGCGGCAGCGGGCTCCAGCCGCGGAACCGCTTCCCCGGCCGCTGACGGCTCCTCTGGCTCTGCCGCACCCCGGAAACCTTTGTGGGGGAGCATCCTGCCCCGCAGCGGGTGCGGGTCCGTGTGACGGGGCTGTGAGCTCGGCCCTCGCCACACGCTCACGGTCCCTGTGCAGCTCCCCTGTAGGGGAAGAGCTGGGGGTGCGCTGGGTTCCGTGGTTCGGTTTGGGACTGGGCTGGGAGATGGGGTCCTGTGTCCCAGGCACGGTCCTGTACCAGACCCAGAGATGGGGTCCTGTGTCTGAGCTGGGGTCCTGCATCCAAATCCGGAGTCAGGGTCCTGTGGAAGAGCCGTAGTGGAGCTGTGGTCCCGTGTCTGACCCACGGTCCTGTATCCAAACCTGGGGTTGGGGTTCCGTGTCAGACCTGTGGTCCTGTATCAGAGCGGGGTCCTGTGTCTGGGCTGTAGAACTGCACCTGAACCCAGAGCCGCGGTGCCGTGTCCGTGCCACGGTGCCCATCAAACCCAGAGCCGCGGTGCCGTGTCCGTGCCACGGTGCCCGTCAAACCCAGAGCCGCGGTGCCGTGTCCGTGCCACGGTGCCCGTCAAACCCAGAGCCGCGGTGCCGTGTCCGTGCCACGGTGCCCGTCAAACCCAGAGCCGCGGTGCCGTGTCTGGCCCGCCGGGTCGGGAGGGGCTCTGCGCGGTGCTCGGCGGAGCCGCCTCCACCCGGGGCCCGCTCACCCACGGCGGGGGACCCGGGGCACCCCACGCTACCCCGGGGCGGGTGGATCTGATGTGTCCCGTGGGCTCCGCGGGCCGAGGCGTGCCCTGAGCCGGTCCCGCGGTGTCCCCTGGGCAGGTCCGGGCCAGCGCCATCGCGCAGGACGCCGACCAGAACTACGACTACGCCAGCAACAGCGTCATCCTGCACCTGGACGCGGGGGACGAGGTCTTCATCAAGCTGGACGGGGGCAAAGCCCACGGCGGCAACAACAACAAGTACAGCACCTTCTCCGGCTTCATCATCTACTCGGACTGAGCCCGGAGCGCGGCGCCGCCCCCGGCACCCCCGCATCCGCCCAGCCCCGCGGCGGCGCCCCGGCACCCCCGCACTGAGCCCCCGGCCCCACGGCACCCCTGGGCCGTGGTTCTGTTCCCTGCTGCCTCCCAGCTCCCCTCGCTCCTGCCCGGCCCCACGGCACCCCCGCCGCGGTCCAGCCCACGGATCCCCCCTCCCCGCGCTCCCGGCTGCCCTCGGTGCCCCGAGCCCCCCTTTCGCAGCTCACACGAAGGCTGCCAACCGAGGGCTTGGGGCGGCAGAAGCTTGGGGGCGGCAAGAGGCTGGGGGTGCCCCCCGCGCTGCCCCACGGCCCCCCCATCCCCCTTGCCCCCTTGTGCCGCCCCTGCTCTCTGCCCGCCCTGGGGCGATGCCGGGGGTCTCGGGAGGCTCCGGCTGTACAGACGCGCGGTGTCCGCACGGCCCCGGCCCGGGGGCTGTGTTGGGGCGGGGGAGCCGCCGTCCTGCCCCCCGCCGGGTGACAACATGGTAAAGCAGAGCTGTGATCTCTCCCCGTCTGCTGTGTGTGTCCCCGATGTCCCCAGCCTGGGGACGGGGTCTTTCTGCCCCACCACCTCCCACGCCGACGCCGCTTGCTTTTATCAAATCAGCGCAGCCGTGAGAATCAGCGCTGTGCCCGCAGCGGGGCCGCTCGGAGCGGCACCCGGACACGGGCCGGTCCCCGGAGCCCAGGCGGCCCACGGGGGTGTCCCCTGAGGGACACGGCATTGCCACCGCTCGGGGAGGGACACGCTCAGGCCACACAGCGCCACTGGGAGCCTCGGGCACACGCGGCCGTCACCGCTGCCTCGGCGCGGGCAGGACCGGCCCAATTCGAGGTGACAGCGGTGCCCGGGGCCAGCGGCCGCCCCCGGAGCGGCTGCGGTGGCATCAGAGAACGGGAGCCCTGGGGACACGGGCTGGCCTTGCGGACAGGACGGGGCCGGGTGTGCTCCTGCCCGTATGTGTGTGTCCTGAGTGTGCGTGTGTCCCCAAGAATGAGTGTTCATGTTCCCAGGCGTGTGTCTGTGTCCCGGGGCTGTGTGTCCCTGAGGTGTGTGTGTGTGTATGCCAAGTGTGTGTGTGTGCCAGGTGTGTGTGTGTATGCCAGGTGTGTGTGTGTACCAGGTGTGTGTGTGTGTGCCAGGTGTGCTTCCTCCCCCAGCTCTGTGTGTGTCTCAAGCCCCGGCGGGTCCCGGCACTGTTCCCCAGCACCGATCCCGGCTGGAGGAGGCGGCGGGGCTGGGCTCGCAACCCCGAGCAGAAAGTCCCCGAGAACGGTGTGGCTGAAGCGCTGTCCCGGGACCCTCCTGGACCATCCGGAACTCTCGGGGATCTCCCAAGACCCCTCCGGGATCCCTCGAGACCCCCGAATCCCCTGGGACCCCCGAGACCCTCCGAAAACTCCCGGGACCCTCCGAGACCCCCGGGACCTCCCGGGACCCTCCGGGACCCCCCACGCTCCGCCGCCCGCCGGGGCTCCGAGCTGTTGCTGCTGCTGCCCGCCGGCAGGGGGCGCAGGCGGGGACGAGCCTGCAGTTCCCATGGCGCATGGCGCGGGGCTGAGGACTACAACCCCCATGAGGCATCACGCGGCACGCAGCCAATGGGAGCCGGAAAGAGGGGCGAAGCCAATCAGAGGTCAGGGCGGGGTTTCGCGGGCAATTTAAAGGCGGCGCGGGGCCAGGAACCCGCCCAGAGCGGCGGGGCCGGGGCCGGGGCTCGGGGCTCGGGGCTCGGGGCTCGGGGCTCGGGGCTCGGGGCCGGGGCGATACGCAGTACCGTGTCCGGAATTCAGAGCCTGTGCGAGGGGTTCTGGGAGCCCAGAGGAGGCGCGGGCACAGCGGGGAGGTGTGAGGGGCTGGGCGGGCCGGAGGGGACGGTGTTTGCGGAGGTGTGAAGTTCCAGGGCCGGCTCGGAGCCGAGCCGCCTCTCCCTGCGGAGCGCCCCGGGCCCCGTCCCGCGGGCTCCGTGACGCTGCCGGCATTCCCGAGGGAGCCGCTCCCTGCCGGGATTCTGCCAGCACAGCACGGGCAGCCCGGGAGCTGCGCCGGAGGTCCTGCCTGGAGGTGCCTCGGAGAGGAATCACCGAGCACAAAGCACAGGACCAGCTCACGGTACAGCCGCGATTGTAATCATTTCCCACTGCATCCTTCAAAATGCTTCAAGGGCTCTGGGCTCGCTCTGCTCCTGTCCGGCTCAGAGCCTGCAGGACCCGCAGCAGGTGCAGGCACAGCCCCGTGCTCGATCCGCTGCAGAAATTGCACCAAAATGCTGCACAACGGAGAGACTCAAACCCACACTTAGAACCCACGTGCCATTTTAATACTCTGCCTTTGTTTGCTCCCTGCTGCAAGGATCCCAGGTGAACTCGTCCGGCAGCAGCAGTTGGATGTTTGGAGAAGGAAGGTGGGCTGGGGTCCCACATGGGCCAGCAATTCCTCAGGAACTTTCTGGTCACCCATCCCAGAGCCCTTCTGGCAGTCTCATTCCTACTGCTCCAGATTGGCACTGCTGGGACTGAAGCCCCTTCAGAGCAACAACAGCTCCAGAGATACTTCAACAGCAATTCCTACCTTGACTTTAACAGGACATTCCTGCTAATATACTCAAAGGAAAAGTTTCAAGGGGTTTAACACTGCCCTGATACACATTATTATTGCAGGTACCAAACAACAAAGTTAAGGCCAACAGAGTTGCCATAGGCCAGAAAGTATTATCAATATAAATTCACTAAAAAGGTTCATCATTCCCTACCTATTGACATACTGGGTCAGTCACCTGGTGCTGGCAGTTGGATGTTTGGAGAAGGAAGGTGACCTGAGGTCCCATCTGGGTCAGAAACTCTTCAGGAAACTTCCCTGTCATCCATCCTGGAGCTGCTCAGGCAGCTGCACTCCCACCCCAGACTGGCACTGGTGGGGCCGAGGCCATCAGCAGTGCCCTGAGGGGCCCTGTTGGCTCCCCCACACCCCATCCCACAGTTGCTCCTGATTTCCTCTCCAGCCCAGCCCCAGGGCTCCCAGAGAGCAGTCCCAGGCTCTGCTTCCTTTAAGGAATTTTATAGAGCTGCAGCACTGACCTGCCTGGCACTGCAGGGCCCTGTGCCCTTCGGGTCAGTGCCAGGTCCTTGCCGGGGGCTTTGCTGATTTTCCCCACAGAGCTCACCCTGCAGCTCCCAGGGCACTGCCCTGCAAGCCTTCTGCACTAAATGTGGTCCTCAACACGAGGGACCCTCATTACACACCCCAAACTGTGACAGAGCAACATCCCCAGACACCCTAATCCACAGCTGCAGCCGCTGGCTGGACCTTCCTTCATCCCCTTCAAAAACCCAGCACACGGTCCCATGGGAGGGATGCGGTGGCTGTGGGGGTGAGGAGCTGGCTGGACGCAGCCGCAGGGCTGGGGGCAGTGGCCCCTGTGCTGTGGTGACCAGGGTGTCCCGAGGGCTCTGGGTGGCACCGGGGCTCTGCAGTCCCTCACTGGCACGGGCGTGGCTCGAGCCCACTCTCAGCGTGTCCACAAAGGTGACACGAAGCTGCGGTGCAGGTGACACCCAGGGGGACCTGGACAAGCTCGAGAAGTGGGACCAGGAGAACACGACGGAGTTCAATAAAGCCAAGGGAAGGGGCTGCACCTGCGCAGGGACAGCCCCAGGCACCAACACAGAGCAAAATAAGAGCCCAGAGCTGCCCTGAGAGAAGGACTTGGGGGTTCCGGGGAGGAAAAGCTGCACCCGAGCCACCAGCGAGCACTGGCAGCACCAAACGCAGCCTCGGCTGCAGCAGGAGTGGCCAGGGGAGGGTGAGGGAGGGATGCTGCCCCTCCGCCCTGCGGAGCCGTAACGAGATCATCTCTTAGGGTCCCGCCGGTGACCCGCGGTTCCGCGGTAATGAGTCCTTGGGGATGCCGTTGGTCCCAGCACAGCCCCATGGCCACCAGCGGCACGAGTGACAACGTTCCAGGGCTGCCGGGCACCGGTGGAACGCCGAGCGTCTGTGACAACGGGCTCGGTCCGTTCCTCCCGGCGCGTCCGGCCGCGCTCCGCTCGCTGCTCCGCTGCCGGCGCTGCAGGCGGAGGCGTTTGCCAAAGCCATTCCCGGTGACCGAGGCTGTGCCTCGTCCCTCGCATGGCAATACCGACCCCACGCATGGGTTCTGCCGTCCCCGCGGGGGACGCGGTCGCAGGGTCAGTCCTGCTGAGGGAGGGGCGGAACAGGGACACGGGGACCGGCAGGGGAGGGAGGCCGGGCTGTGGGAGGGGGCTCTGAGGGGACCAAAGGAGTGACAGGGTCGTGACAGAAACTCTGGGGGCCAAAACTGGGAGAGGCTGAGTGGGCTGGAAGGGAATGTTGGGGTCCTCGGGGAGGCTGTGGGAGGGGGCTGTGTCTCAAAGGGATTTAGGGTCTTTGGGGAGGGTCCAGGGGAGCAGTAGGAACATGAAGGGGTTTGTAGAGTTGTTTGGGATCCAGAGAGACCCGAAGAGAGGCCAGGGTTTTGGGAGCCTGAGGAGGGCTGTGGGAGCCTGAAGGGGGTTCAGGCTCATGGGGAGCTCCAAAGGGACACTGGGCAGGATTGGCACAGGGAGGGGGTGTGCGCAGACCCCGGGGACGGGGGAAGGCTCGGAGACCTCGCCCAGCCTGGGGATATCTCTCCCGCACTGCATCCTCCAGCCGAACCTATCCCCCCCAGACCACATGAGGACCCAGATCATTGGACTGAGCAGCCCGGTGCCCCAGCCGGAGGTGCCTGGTGTGGGGCAGAGCCCCCGCCCCAGGAGGGCTCCGTGGCCGTGGTGCTGCGTGTGAGGCCCCCCAGCCCCCGGGAGCGAGGTGCACCCACTGTCCTGCACGTCCTGAACCAGCACACGGTGCTGCTCAGCGCCGAGGAGCCGGGCGGCACCGGCGGCACCGGCGGCACCACGCCGCCCGCCCGCTGCCCCGGGCGCCCCCGCAAAAACCTCCAATTTGAGTTCGACCACGTTTTTGACGAGAAGGCCACGCAGGAGGAGGTGTTCCAGCACACCACGCTCCCTCTGCTGGAAACCCTCCTCGCTGGCTACAACTGCTCCGGTAAGTCTCGGCTCACACCCCGATCCTTGCAGGGGCTCCTGGCCCATCCGCTCCCAGGTTGGTGGGCTCAGCAGAGCCCTGAATTTAATTTGAATGCCCCCATGCATCTCTGGGAATGAGGTGGCACAACAGCATCCCAAAGCCACACAGCCTGAAGCGTGCTGGTTCCAGCAGTGCTCGGCACTGGGAGATGGGGTGCAGAGGATGGATGTGGGCGTTGGGGTAGATGTGAGGCTGGGTAGGAGCTGTCGAGGCATCTTGAGGAACAAGGATTACTTGCTCTTCTCTGTCCTGGGTCAGGAACGATGGGAAGACCTGTGGTGGATGCATGGGGAAAGAGCCCCTTGGCTTTGGCATCCCTTTCCGGGAGAATGGCTCCATAGAGCCGGGTCTGACAGGTCCTGGACAGGTCCTGGAGAGCTCCTGCAGCCCCTCGCTGCTGCTGCTGCAGCCCCCGAGCCGTTCCCAGCTGTTGGCAGCCTTTGCATGTCACAGGAGCATTCCTGGCAGGAGCCCAGCACTCCCCAGGCTCGCCCTGCACCAGCTGCTCTGACCAGGGGATGCTCTTCCAGCTCTCGGTGCTTCCTGAGAGCCACTGAAGGGCTGCCCCTGTCCCCAGGCCCCAGCACTGAGTGCTGCCCTCGGGAGGAGGGCTGAGGCTCCAGGTCAGTGTGTCCCACCCTGCTGGGGAGCTTCAAAGGAGGTGCTGGAAGATGGGGGTAAAAGAGAGGAACCAGAAATGCCTCATGGAGAGAGGGTCAGAGGTAACCTGAGCATGGGAGCAGCGCTCGTCTGGAGATTCTTTCTGTCCCTGCTGCATTAGAGAGGCTGAAACCAGGGAGGAAAATTGCCTTGATTAGTGGGGAAACTTATGAGTTTTACCTCGTGTCTTATCTGTGTGGGAAGCTGCTCTGCTCTGCTCTGCTCTCCTGCCAGGACCCAACCTTGTGCTGTGCCAGGTGAGTACTGACAGATCATTTCACCACCCACCCCTTCTCCTTCCAGTGTTTGCCTACGGTGCTTCGGGAGTGGGGAAAACCCACACCATGATGGGCTCCATGACCACTCCTGGCATCGTGCACCTGGCCACGGTGGAGCTCTACAAGAGGCTCGAGGCCATGAAGGACAAGAGCTGTGAGGTCCTCGTCTCCTACCAGCAGGTTTGCTGTGGCCCAGCATGTCCCCTCCTGCCTCAGGGTCCCCAGGGAAGAGATCTGGGGTTGATCCAGAGCCACACTCATGGTACCTGCAGTGTCCCCTGCTGTGCCTGGGGTTGGCAGGGCAGCCTGACTGGATCAACCACCCGGTGGAGTGAAATTCTGCTGCTGCTTTCTGCCAGCTGGAGCTGGGGGCTTTTCTCTCCTTGCTGTGCTGCGCAGAGCAGTGAGGTTTTCCTGGCTGGAAGGGCTGGACAGGAGCAGGGCTGGGGGAAGTGCCCAGCAAAGCTCTGGGAGCTGGCCCTGCCTTCTGAGCCCCATCAGCTGCTCCCGGTGGAATGAGGTCCCAGAGGTGGGGTCAGGGGCACCCAGCTCTTCTCCCAGCTCACTCCCAGAGAGTAAAACCTCGGCCTGACCTCGTTTTCCTGCTCCAGGTGTACAAAGAACGTGTCTACGACCTGCTGGAGCCCCAGGGCCCGCTGAATGTCTGGGAGAAACCTGGGAAAGGAGCCGTGGTACAGGGTCTCTCCTTCCACCAGGTCTGGGCACAAGAAAGGGACAAGGGCTGGGACAAACTCATCTGCACCAGTGCTGAGAGAGGCTGGGAGCCCTGGGGACACGGGGTGGGGAGGTCTCAGGAGCCTCCTGGCTCCTGGCTGGCAGCAGAGGTGGCCTCGAGCTGCCCGGGGCCCGCAGAGCTGCCCGGGGCTGCTCGGCCTCGGGGTGCCTGGCTGCCCTGCCCAGGTGCTGATCCGGCCCCTGCCCGTTCTCCCCCAGCCCACGACACCAGAGCAGCTCCTGGACATGTTGGCCAAAGGCAATAAAAACCGAGCACAGCGTCCCACCAAGGCCAACGCCTCCTCCTCCCGCTCCCACGCCATCTTCCAGGTGAGGGCTGCCGGCTCTGGGGCAGGAAACACACCTGCACACCTGGGCCAGCACCAACGTCTCCGGGCTGTCCCCTCGGCCCGAGCTGGCAGTGCTGCTCCCCAGGGGCTCTGTTCATGTGCTCTCTGCTGTCTGGGTGCAAAGCTGCCAGTGGATTTCAGCTCCAGCCAGGCCCTTGCCCGAATTCTCAGGGCTGTCAGGGCTGCCTGGGCAGATGCAGGCTCTGGCTGTCACTTCAGCCTGGCCCCTGGCTGCTCTCGGGGGAGCAGCCCAGGTGTCTGCAGGATTTTCCAGTCCCTCTGAGGATCTGCCCAGCCATACCCCTCTCTGTCATCAAGTGTGGGAGATGCTGATTGTTCCCATAGCTGTCCCTCCCTGCCAGATCCCTTCCTGGCTCTGTTCCTCATGTCATCACCAGGTGTTTGGCTCACCGTGCCAACATGCCATGTTCCTCTCCTCCTGCCTCGTCTCACCACACCATTCCCTGGCTCTTGCCCTGAAAGCACAGAGCCCTGCTCCCCAGAGCACCTGTGTGGAGCCAGTGTCAGCCCCCTCTGTCCTCACAGATCCAGGTGAAGCTTCGTGACCCCACTGGCGGCCCCGCCGGGGGCCCACGCGTGGCCAAGCTGAGCTTCATCGACCTGGCGGGCTCGGAGCGAGCCTGGGACAGCACGGGCCGCGGAGAGGGGCTGTGGGAGGGCACCAGCATCAACCGCTCGCTGCTGGCCCTCAAAAGCGTCATCCGTGCTCTGGCGGGAGCCAAGGTGAGTCCCGGGCCCGGCCGGACTCTCTGGGCAGCTCCGGAGGGTGCCCGCAGCGCCCGGAGCTGAGCTCGGTGTCTCGGCAGGGCGGGCAGAGCCATGTGCCGTTCCGGGACAGCAAACTGACGCTGCTGCTGAAGGACTCGCTGGGCGGCAGCTGCCGCACCGCCGTGATCGCGGCCGTGAGCGCCGCGGCGCCCGCCGGCCGCGACACCTACAGCACGCTGCGCTTCGCCAGCCGCGCCCGGCGCGCCCCGCCGCCGCTGAGCGCCGCCGGGGCTGCCGCGGCCCGGGGGCTGCCGGCCGGGGCTGGCGCGGGCGTGCTGCCTGCACTGGTGGGTGCCTCCCGTATCCCGTGGGAATCTCCCAGCCCGGGGGTGCCGCTGCGGCCAGGGGCTGCCGATGGAGCTTCAGCAGCGTCAGCGTGCTCTGCTGCTAAAGCTGCTGAAGCTGCCCAGCCCAGGTGCCGCCCATGGCAGCACAGGTCGTGTCCCTCTCTGGGCACAGATCGTGTCCCCTGCGGCCACCCGGGGGCCCTGGAGTCTGGAGGGGGCTGAGGACCAGCCCTGCTCCAGCCCTGGAGATGGGTCTGTGCTGCCCCATCGTGTTTCAACCACTGCCTCATCCCAATTGCTGCAGGGCACCGGGATGTCTCCCTGCACCTCCAGAGCAGCCTCCCTGCCCAATCTGCAGTGCCAGGCGAGGACACCAAGTCCCTTTCTGCAGGACCTGCAGGACCAGGAAGAAAAGTGAGTGTGTTTCTGTCCTCCCCACGTCACGCTGCCTCTTCTCAGCCTGGGCAGACTGGGTTGTCGATGGTCTGGATGGATGTGGGACCAGGGCTGTGCCTGGGGGTGCTGGCCTGTCCTGGGCCCCTTGTCACCCACAGGTGCACACACACCTCACAGCTCAGGCTCTCCAGGAAGAGATTTACAGCTTGGGAATGTCCCATGTTCCAAGTTTGACTGTCTAACCCCAAAACTCTACCCACAGCCTCTGCCCTGATGAAATTACTGCAAAGACAAAGGAAGTGAAGCTCCTGGAGGAGTCCACAGGACTGGAGGAGTCCACAGAGCTGGAGGAGTTCACAGGGCTGGAGGAGTCCACAGAGCTGGAGGAGTTCACAGGGCTGGAGGAGTCCACAGAGCTGGAGGAGTCCACAGGACTGGAGGAGTCCACAGGATTGGAGGAGTCCACAGGACTGGAGGTTTCCACAGGGCTGGAGGAGTCCACAGGATTGGAGGAGTCCACAGGGCTGGAGGAGTCCACAGGATTGGAGGAGTCCACAGGGCTGGAGGAGTCCACAGGATTGGAGGAGTCCACAGGGCTGGAGGTTTCCACAGGGCTGGAGGAGTCCACAGGACTGGAGGAGTCCACAGGGCTGGAGGTTTCCACAGGGCTGGAGGAGTTCATAGGATTGGAGGAGTCCACAGGGCTGGAGGAGTCCACAGGGCTGGAGATTTCCACAGGGCTGGAGGAGTCCACAGGGCTGGAGATTTCCACAGGGCTGGAGGAGTCCACAGGGCTGGAGGAGTTAATAGGATTGGAAGAGTTCACAGGGCTGGAGGAGTCCAGAGGGCTGGAGGAGTCCACAGGGCTGGAGGAGTCCACAGGGCTGGAGGTTTCCACAGGGCTGGAGGAGTCCACAGGGCTGGAGGAGTCCACAGGATTGGAGGAGTCCACAGGGCTGGAGATTTCCACAGGGCTGGAGGAGTCCACAGGCCTGGAGGAGTTCATAGGATTGGAAGAGTCCACAGGGCTGGAGGAGTCCACAGGCCTGGAGGAGTCCACAGGCCTGGAGGAGTCCACAGGCCTGGAGGAAGCTGCACCTCCCTGTAGCCCCGCAGAGCCCAGCGAGGCTGCCCCAGCCCCAGGAATGCAGCTGAGCTGTACCGGTGAGGGTCTGGGATGGGGACAGTGGGGATTGTCCCCTCTTCTGTGTCTCGATGGGACACAGCTCGGGGCCGCGGTGGGCACGGGGCAGAGGAACGGGCGTGTCCCCACGTGTCCCCAAGCGGGTCGTGCCCGGCGTGGCTCCGGCCTCGCTGTGCAGAGCGATCCGAGCTCGGCAGCACCTCGGGCAGGAGCCGGGAGCAGCCCTGGGCTCCGGGGGGAGCTCAGCTCGTGTGTGCGAGGCAGGCCCCCGGGAGGGATGTCCCCGGCCCAGGAGCCCAAAGCAGCAGCTCTGAGCCGCCTTTCTCCCGTCTCCGTTATTCCTCCCCGGCTCCCTTGCCCGAGCCAGCCGGGATGGAGCCTCAGCCGGCAGCCGGCTCTGAGCAGGGCTGAGCTCTGCCTCCTCACCCTCCGTGCCCGGGCGCGATGCTGGCAGCGGAGCTGCGGCTCTGCAGGGGCTGTTTGCCGGGCCACGCGGGCATTGCCCGGGGCGCAGGCTGCGGCTCCTGTGCCGCCTCTTCTCCTCGGGCTGGACGCGCTTTGGTGCAGCAGCCGCTGGCAAAGGGCTGCTCCGGGGCTCGGAGGGCAGAGCTACCCCGGGCTGGGGGCACGGGGGCTGCTCCGGGGCTCGGAGGGCAGAACTGCCCCGGGCTGGGGGCACGGGGGCTGCTCCGGGGCTGGGAGGGCAGAACTGCCCCGGGCTGGGGGCACGGGGGATGGGAGCGCTCCCGACCTGCAGACAGGGAGGTGACTCTGTTTCTTCTCTGCTCTTTTAGCCGAGGCTGCTGTCACCATGCCAGATCCCCCTGTGCCCAGCACCGACCCGGAATGCTCCCAGGAGCTCTCTCCGTCCTCCAGCCCCGGGCCGATGTCTCTCGGGCCGGTTAAGAGGAGGCTCGAGTGGAGCAGCGATTCGCAATCAGGAAATTCCCGCGGCTCCCGAGCGCGGAAGAAGCGCCGGCAGTGCCGCGGGAAGGCGGCCGAGGCTCCGCGGGCAGCGCAGAGCTGCCCTGAGCCCCCGGGGCCGCGCTGTGCCAGCCGCCAGCCCTGCCAAAGCCCTGGCACCCCGCCTCCAGCGGCTGCCCGGAGCCCCAGCCCCCTGCCCGGGCCGGCTCCAGAGCTGCTTCCCCCAAGCGCTGAGCAGCAGCAGCAGCAGCCAGAGCCCCGGGCAGCCCTCCCGCCTCCACCCCCCAGCGCCTCTCGCAGCGTCCAAGCTCCGAACGCCTCCAGCTCCGCTCTGCCCCGTTTTTCCTGCAGCCCCCCGAGCATCCCCTCCTGGCCCGTGGTGCCCTTCTGGCCGTGGTTCCAGCTGCGAACCCGCGTTTGTGCCCCCTCTGTTGGCTCAGTCCTGTATGTGTGTCTGCAGGTTATGGGTGGGTTTAGGAAATAAGTTACTGTGTTTTTAATAAATTGTTCTGTCCCAAATCCAAGGGCTAACACGTGGATATTCTCTCCTGCCCCCCTCTCGTGTGGGGAGCCTGGAAAAAGCTCTTGCTCTGGCCTTGGGCTCCATCCCTTTCTCCATCATCCTGTGGGTGGCCTGGGCTCTCTGCCGAGTGTCCCAGAGTGTAGGTGAGGGCTGTGGGGGGACACATGGCCATGGCCATCCATGACAACATCCATGACAACAGTCAGGTGAGCTGTCACTGTGTCACTGTCATTGCAGTGGGATCATGGCCCTGCCTCTGCACATTCACATGTCTAGTTCTTGTTTATTCCCCATGCTGTGACTCTTTGTGTCCAGGCACTTCAGAGAGGGATCAAGAAACCGTGTGGGGTGTGAGAGGTTTCGCCACAGCCACACACAGCGCTGATGGTGTTTGCCCTGTGATTCTCAGCTCAAGCCAAGGACATCAGGCTCTGTGGGCCGGCCTGGTCTCCTCCCAGGAGGAAGCAATGGCACAAACATTGCCCCTTTGGAACACACTCCCAGGCCTTTCCATTTAAAGCCCCTCTCATCACATTGGCCAGTCCATGGTCGAAGGGTCTCTTGCCCTCCCTAACAGGCCCCAGTCATTAAAGCACTCTGCCCCAAAAGCCAATACCCTCCCAATGGCACAGCCAAAAAGGTGTCAATCTGCCCTAGAGATCCTTCCTAAGTTCCCATCCAGCTCAAACCATGATGAGATGTTGGGGGTTCCACGGATCCAGCCCAGCTCCGTTGTTGCCAGGCACACGGGTGACAACGCTGCAGAGCTGCTGGGGACAGGCGGCTCCAGAGATGGTGACAGAGGCGGGGCTGCTTCAGGGCAGAATGCTCGCAGCAGATCCCTGGCTGGGCTGTGAGTTCTGCTGGGCCAGAGAGCACCTGGAGTGATGGGGATGAAGCTGCTGGGAGCCACCATACTCCTCTCCCTGGTGGATGTTCTCCAGGCCTTTGCCATTGAGAAGAAAGGGGATGTGTTCAAGAAGACGGCGTGTCCCGCCTTCCTGATATTCGAGAACGTCGCCTACTTGGCGGACATGACCTTCGAGCTGCCCTGCAAGTGCAAGCCCGAGGAGGCCTCCTCTGTTGTCTGGTACTTCCAGAAGAACCTGCACAGCCACGAAACCACGGTGCTGACAGACTTCAACGGCACCGTGATTGTGGACTCCAGCCACGTCCGCGCGGGCAGCGACCTCCTGAAGCGCTTCAGCATCCGCTTGTTCAGTCTGATCGTGTTCCGAGCCCAGCTCAGGGACTCGGGCCATTACCTGTGTGGCACCAAGGAAGGGCTTTTCTTCTACGGCTATGACGTGGACGTGCAGCCCACTGGGCAGATCACTGTGGCTTTTCTGGATAACGACCAGCACGTCCAAGAGGACTACGCAGGGAAGGAGTTCACCCTCTTCACCACCTTCTGGGACTGGAGCGGCTGTGACCGCTGCGGGGTGCGGGGCGAGCAGCGGCGCATCGGGCTCTGCTACGTGCAGAGCGCCCGGCTGAAGCCCCGGTACCGCACAGCGCTGCCCAACGTCACCTCCTGCGGCTCCCGGGCCGTGCCCGCGCGCTTCCAGCGCCTCATCCGCCTCCGGAGCCCCGAGGTGGCCGTCCGGAGCTGCCTGGCCCCTTGCCCGGAGAAGCGAGTCCCCGAGGAGGGCGTGCAGTCCATCTCCAACATCATTTACAAGCTGGGCGAGAAGCCCGAGCTGCCCCGCGTCCCCATGCAGTACCACAGCCAGCCCCCCAAAAGCGACCTGGTCCTCACGTGCCCGGGAGCGCGGCCGGAGCACGCCGTGGCCTGGGACAAGGGCTCCGTGCGCCTCTACCGCTCCCACTACCTGCTGGGGGTCCGGAAGCACATGAGGCTCTTCATCGACCACGGGAACCACCTGCACCTCCAGCGGCTGTGCAGGAGGGACAAAGCCACCTACTTCTGCTGGCGGGAGGGCGAGCTGGTGGCCGGCTTCCAGCTCAGTGTCACCTTCCAGCCCCGGCGCCAGCGCAGCCCCACCGACCCCGAGTCAGTCTTCGTCATGAGGGCCGTGGGCATCAGCTTTGCCATCATCATCGGCATCTTCTTCCTCATCCACCTGTCCCGCTGGAGCTCTCAGGTGTTCAGGAAAGTGGCCAAGTCATAGCAGCTCCCCCACAGGACACTCGGACACCTTGGGTCGCCCTCATGCAGGAAATTTCCAATGTGAGGACCATTTTCATATATTTTGGTTTCAATGTTTGGTTTTGACCTTTTGAAGGGAAAATAATTTTTTTTCCCCAAATTATTCTGGCAATTTTCTTCAGAACCGCCTCTGCTTTTGAGGTGTTTTTAACTCATCCAATTCAGCACAGAGCTGGGAGTCAGTATTTGTGCCTGACAGGGTTATCTTACACATCCCTCAAAGGTGGTGGCATCTCTGCAGGGTTTCAGCAGGGAGCAGGATGTGCCCTCCAGGCTCATCTCCTTTGTTTGAGGATGTGACTTGAGGATTTCAGCAATCCCAAGGGAACTGCTGTTGTCTGGGAGGGCACTGTGGGTCCCAGCGATGCTCTGGCACTTGAACAGTGTAGATGATAGCGAACCAAACACCTGGTGAGGACATGAGAAGCAAAGTCAGGGAGGGAGGCAGGAAGGGATGGAGCTATGGAAAACAATCTGTGTCTCCCACATTCAGGGATGAAGCAGGGCACAGCTGGTTGGGTCCTTAACGGGCAACAAACCCACCCAAAGCCCCAGCATGAGCCAGGAGGGGCTCACACACAGAGGCAGCTCCAGGCCTGACTCTCCCTCGGGACTTTGCCACCAAACTCAGCCCCAGACAGAGCCTGGTGCCAGGGAGGCACCAGCCAGGGCTGTGGGTGCCAAGCCAGGGCTGGTGCAGGCCAGGGGAGCACAGCCACCAAGACTCATCAGGCAGCATTTCTCCATGCCTTCCCCTCTGAATCCCTAAAAATGTCCCACTAGAACCCCACATGCTTCCCCCACTGCCCTGTAATCTCCCCTATCCCCCCCAGGAGCAACCCCTGCAGGGCCAGAGGTGCTGGAAGCTGAGGACTGCTCCTGTATCTCTGCAGCCCGTGGTTTGCTTGTTGGGAGGCAGAGCTGGCAGCAGGAAGGGCACATTTCCAGCACAGCTCAGGGATTCGTGCAGGCAGGAATCCAGGACCCACCAACGAGCCCAGCTGGGAGCTGGCTGGAAAATCCTGCAGACACCTGGGCTGCTCCCCCGAGAGCAGCCAGGGGCCAGGCTGAAGTGACAGCCAGAGCCTGCGTCTGCCCAGGCAGCCCTGACAGCCCTGAGAATTTGGGCAAGGGCCTGGCTGGAGCTGAAATCCACTGGCAGCTTTGCACCCAGACAGCAGAGAGCACATGAACAGAGCCCCTGGGGAGCAGCACTGCCAGCTCGGGCCGAGGGGACAGCCCGGGGACGTTGGTGCTGGCCCAGGTGTGCAGGTGTGTTTCCTGCCCCAGAGCCGGCAGCCCTCACCTGGAAGATGGCGTGGGAGCGGGAGGAGGAGGCGTTGGCCTTGGTGGGACGCTGTGCTCGGTTTTTATTGCCTTTGGCCAACATGTCCAGGAGCTGCTCTGGTGTCGTGGGCTGGGGGAGAACGGGCAGGGGCCGGATCAGCACCTGGGCAGGGCAGCCGGGCACCCCGAGGCCGAGCAGCCCCGGGCAGCTCTGCGGGCCCCGGGCAGCTCGAGGCCACCTCTGCTGCCAGCCAGGAGCCAGGAGGCTCCTGAGACCTCCCCACCCCGTGTCCCCAGGGTGCTCTCGGCACTGGTGCGGGCACAGAACAGTTTCAGGCTGTGTTTTGGGGTTGCTGTTGTGTCTCCCCATTCCCGCAGAGCTGCTGGAGGACACAGCTCCAGGTCCAATGGTCTGGGGTGCTCATGCACTCCTTGGGGGGAGGGTTGGTTCAGCGGGAGGATGCAGTGGGGGAGAGAGATCTCCAGGCTGGGAGAGGTCTCAGAGACTCTCTCTGGGCTCTGCTTCCCACTGCCTCCCTGTGCCACCCCCAGGCAGTTCCCCCTTAGAGCCCCCCGTGAGCCTGAACCCCCTTCAGGCTCCCACAGCCTCCCCAAAACACAACCTGACACCCACGGCTTCCCCAGTTATTCTGCAGCCCTTTTGCCTCCCACAGCTCCCACAGGACACGGGGAGCCAGGATTCAGGAGCAGCTCCCAGCTGAGCTGGCCTGAAAAAGGCTCTTGCTCTGGGGTTGGGCTCCGTTGTGGCTTCCCCCCATCTCCATCATCCCAGGGTCCTGTGGGGGCCTCCGCACCCTCTTCTGAGCTGGGGGAGGTCTGGGCACCCTGCCCAGTGTCCCAGAGTGCAGGTGAGGGGTGGGGGAGCCGCCTGCCCTCCTGGGACCTGACACTGTGTAGTGATGGGAAAGGTTTTGTTCTGTATTTCTGCTCTGCCCCATCACTGCCACCCGTGCGACAGCCCCACCCCGGGACAGAGACCCCCAAGCACCCAACGCAGGGTCCGGTGCTCCCACCACCCTGTGATCCCCTTTCCTGCCGTGCCAGGGCACATCTGGCACTGTCACATCTGGTTCCCTGCAGCAGCTCCTCGCAGCCGCCCTCGGTGTGACCGGGAGGGGCAGAGCGGGGCCGGGGCAGCCCCGGGCGCTGCTGTCCCACGGGGCCGGGGTCACCGGCTCCTCCCGGCTCCTCCCGGCTCCTCCCGGCTCCTCCCGGCTCCTCCCGGCTCCTTCCCTGCCCGGCAGCTGCTGATCTCGCCTCTGTCTCCTTCAGCCTGGAAGCTTCCAATTAAAACTGCCAGCCCGCTGCCAGTTCCTTTGTCTCCTTAGGGGGGCCAGGGAAGAGGAGGAGGAGGAGGAGGAGGAGGGGGAGCCCAGCTCTGCCTCCCGCCGCTGCCGGCAGTGGCCGCTTCCCGTGCTTTGATCGCGCTGCGTGGGAGCCGGGAGAGAATCAATCCCTGGGGAGCAGCGGGTGCCCACACAGG